TTGTTCTATACTGTGACTCTGTGTTTAAGTATATATCAGCTATGACTTTGCCTAATCACCATGAGTTGGCTAGCTGCAACAATGAGTCAAAATGATTGACAGAGAGATCCTGTTTGACCTGGTGTGGCCAGATCTTAACTATACCTTCCATTTCATGTTAAGTAGACACATATTTGAGGAAGCCTATATAAGGTTTCTCAGAGCAAAGCAAAGGCAATCTTTTCCCTTGATCCTTTGTTCTATCTTGTGACTCTGTGTATGAGTACATACCAGCCATGACTTTGCCTGATCATCATGAGTTGACTAGCTGCTATAATGAGTCAAAATTATTGGTAGAGAGATCCTGTTTGACCTGTTTGGTCAGATCTTATCTATACCTTCCATTTCATGTCAAGCAGGCACATATTCCTGACAAATAAAATGTCAGGAATAATTCTTACTTTGCAAAGGCTTTTCACACCTGCAGTTTTATTAGTTCTTTCAATACCAAGAAGCAGAAGTGTTGTGATTATCTGATATACTTGAAACATGTTTTATTCGCAATAGGTATTTAATAAGTGTATTTTTAAATGTTAAAAAAAAACAAGTTGTGAAAGTGGAGAAGAAAAAAATGATATTTGAGGGTCTTACTACTTGCCAGTACTATATATCCCATGTCAAAATCTGTGTTAGTCTCTGTATCCAAAAGACTTAATAAGAACAACTTAGAAGAGGAAAAGTTTATTTTGGCTCTGGTTTCAGAGGTCCAGAACATGGTTGGCTGGCTGTATAGCTCTGGGCCCAAGCTGAGGCAAGCCATCATGGCAGAAGGGTATGGCAGAGGAAAGCAGCTCAGGACATGACAGCCAGGAAACAGAGAGAGCTCTGCTCACCAGGGACAAAATATAATCCACAAAGTGACACCCCTAGTGACCTGTTTCCCCTAGACATACTCTACCTGCCTAGAGTTATCACCCAGTTAATCTATCCAATCGAATGAATCCACAGATTCTGTTATCATTCTCATAACCTAATCATTTCACCTTTGATCATTCTTAATTGTCTCGTAATTAAGAGCCTCAGCACCCAGTTTGGTGGGCGGGGAGACACTGCATATCTGAACCATAACACAATCTTTACACTGATCCTGTTTAACAATGTCATGGGGCTAGAGGTCTGCAGTTGTTTCCCTAAAATCCACTTCTACGTGCCAGGCAAGTTTTGAAAATTCCCTCCTCACAGGCAGAGGTGGCTTCTTGATCAATTGCCAGATAGTTCTTCTTTCATCTAGAGGAAAGATGGACTTGATAAATTCTCACCAGGAAAACATGGTGGCACAGGTTCCACCCATTCCTTTTCTGGATCAGACCTACAGTATATGGTTCTAGAAACCAAAACCACATGGTTTAAAAAGCACTTTGTTCTTCTTTCTGGAACAATAAATCCAAAGTAGGAAGTTCAAGGCTGGCACAACTGTTCATTGAACCAGGTGACTTTTTACTTTCTCTAGTGTCATCTCCAGTGGGTGGCTTTCTTCTCCATGGACACAAGAAGTTTGTTCCACCACCAAGACAGCACCTTGGTGAGGGCAGGGAGAAGGACAAAAGTAGAAAGACGCATGTTTGCAGTACAATTCTCCCTTTTTGTTTTAATCAGGAAAACAATTACCTTCCTAGAAGCTTCACCCTATTTATTACGTTTCTGCTTATGTCTTATTAGAACTGTGCTACAACCTCAGCTACAAAGAAGACAGGAAAGTAGAGTTCTTTAACTGGGCACACTGCTGTGCTAAACAAACATGGGCTACTGTGTAGTACAGACAAAAGGGAGAATGAATAGTGAACAGACAAACAGCATGGTCCACAAAACACGAGACCTTTCTATCTGGCTCTTTGCTATTAAATGCAGGGTTTCTGTTCTCACGACTAAAAGGCTCAGGGGTCACTCCAGTTAAACTGGGCTAACTGGGCTGCACGAAATAACCACACAAGAGACACAAATACCTTTTTCTTTGGGGTCGCTCCTCTGACCTTAAGGGTCCGCAGAAAGAGAGAGAAAGAGAGAGAGAGAGAGAGCACACTCGCTGACCCCTTTTATTGAGGGAAGCTATTCAAATGAGGCAAGGGGTCAGGTTTCAGGGGGCTGAGTCTATCTTCATGATGTCCACTGTCAGCAGGTTGACTGACACCTGGGTAGGCCACACCCAAGGGCACAGTAAGAGGAGGGGACACACACAAGGCACTTCCATGGAAGATTCTATCCTAAACAGGGCAAGGGGTTATATTACAAAGGAACAGGTGAGCATAGCTTCACCCATGGGGCTGTAGCAAGACACACCCATTTCTGTGACTGAGCGCCTCAGTACCCAGTCAGGGAGTATAACTCAGTCACATGTAAGGTTGGTCTCCCACAATTAAACATACATTGGAGGGTTGGGGCTGGGGCTCAGTGGCAGAGCACTTGCATAGTATGTGTGAGGCACTGGGTTCAATCCTTAGCACCACATAAAAGTAAATAAAATAAATGCATTCGGTCCATCTACAACTACAAAAAATTAAAAAATAACTTCTAAAAAATACTTTGGTTACTTCACAATATTTGTTAGAGAATAAAGAAAGCCCCAAATGGGAAAGAACATGTTGCAATTGGATGTTACCACTTGGGCCAAATGTCAGAGAAAGAGGGAGGCAGGTTGTCTTGTGTCCAAGGAGCTTTACCGTGGCCAAATCTTTGTCTAGCCTGCTAAGAAAGTGAGGGAGGGGTGCTGTGGTTTCTTCACTGTTCATATTTGATTTTGTCCAGGATTTAGGGGCAAACATATTTGATTTTGGACCATGGGGGCAGAGGGTTGAGTTCCTCATACTCATCAATGAGTTTATGGCACATTACTATTACCGGTCTGCTGAATTCTTTCCCTCTCTGTAATTTACGTGCATTATTTAAAAAATCACTATTCCTTAGTCTTCGCTTCTTACTATCTGCAATTATGGTGATATGTTTAACGTGTGTGTAGTTTCTTTTTTCTTTTTCTTTTCTTTTTTTTTTACATGTTCTTATTTAAGATGGGCATACACTACAATTAACAGACCTCATTCTGTTTCTTTTCTACTGCAGAATTTGCTTTTAGGATCTATGCAAGGTGCTTTATATACATCAAACCAGTGTTTCTGATTGTTGTATTGTAACCCACAGAATGCACCCACCATAGTTTAACCATACACTGGGTTATAGGCTGAATTGTGTGTCCTCTCCTTCCACCACAGAAAATTGATATGTCAAAGTCCCAAACCCTGTACCTCAAATGCAACCATATTTGAAGACAGGGTTTTAAAGAGGCAATTAAGGTTAAGTGAGCTCATATAAGTGAGTCTTAATCCATACAACTATATTTAAAATTGGACCTTCAAAAGGGTGATTAAATTAAACTGAGGTCTTTAGGTTGGACTATAATCCAACTGTGTCCTCATTAGAAGAGAGACACGAGAGATGCACAAATACAGAGAAAAGGCCATGAGAGGACACAGAGAGAAGGTGACCATCAATAAGCCAAGGAAAGAGACTTCAAAAGAAACCAAACCTACACACTGATCTTGGACTCCAGCCTCCAAGATCAGTGTGTAGGTAAATTTCTGTTGTTTAAGCCACCCAGTCTATGGTATTTTGTTACAGCAGCCCTATCAAACCAAAATACACTCTCGGAAACACCTAGGTTTCTTTCAACTCTTCTATTGAAAAGCTTTTGCATTCAACAAACCACTTTTACTGTGAAACTGACAAAGCTGTACAGCTAACATCTGAAAACCTCTTACTGCTATCTTACATAGAAAATAGGGAATTCAGTCTCTTGGAGCGCTAAATCTTTCATTTAGCACCTTGTTAATTGAAATCCTGGTAAGGAGAAAAGAGCAATCCTATGCTCAAGGACACTTGATTGGTTTAGGTAATCCAGGGCATAAACTAATTTGTACTTACTGGATTGGCAAAAGGTAAAAACAACATCCTCACTCCTGATGTGAGCTTCAGTTAAAAGAAACTCTTTTATGGAATATTACCTGACAGTTATTTAAGTAATGAGCTACATCTATATCTGTTTATTTAGAGAGATGTCCATGATATTAAATCAGAAAAAAAAGGGGTAAAGTACCATCTTTAGAAAGATCCTAATTTTATATTATGTATAATCCATGTCAGTCATGTAATTGATTCACAAAGACTGGGTGAGGGTTTGACAGTATGTAATTGGATATGGTGTGAGTTGTCTGGGACTTCCTTACCACCTATGAAGAACTCAGAAGACTGTTACTGGGATCTAGAGATCACCGAATATTAATCACACTCCTGTACTAATCTAAGCACTTGATATTTGACTCATTTTATTCTTTCATAAAGACATTTAATTTTCTTTTGTATTTTGGGGGGTATTTATTTTGTTTTTTGGTATTGGGGATTGAATCCAGGGGCACTTTACCACTGAGCAGCATCTCCAGGCCTTTTTATTTTATTTTTTATTCTGGTTCAGAGTCTCTCTAAGTTGGTGAAGCTGTTCTGGAACTTGTGATCTTCCAACCTCAACCTCCCGAGTCATTTAATTTTCTTAACACCTACCTCCTTTATCGCTTAGGGATCTAATCCAGGGCCTCATGCATGTTAGGTAAGCCCCCTACCAATGAGTTACACCCCCCAGCTATAAGGTATGTAATTTTCAAAGTTACTCTGGGGGTAAGCACTATTCCCCACCTCCCTCAACCCCTGCCATCTTGCAGATGGGTGCTCAAAGCTGCACCACTAGTAAGTAGCTGGCACAGGCTTCCAAGAAGAGCACTCTTAAGATCAGCGACTTGACTCTGCCCAACCGCTGCCTTAGACGGCCTCTCCTCGCAGAGGCAGGGAAAGGCCAAGTCAAGTGCTTACAGTTGCAGTAGTGTGATGGGTGTGTACAGGGGGCGCTTCAAAGGCAGAGAAGCTCATTTCTCTCTGGAAGGGTTACACAGATGAGGTAATCCTTTTCTTGAAAGCTGAGTAGGTGTTCACCAGGCACACGGCGTCTCTCTCACCCGGCTTCTTTTCGCGGGAGTAAGGCTCCAGTTGGGCTGCTACTATTGGAAGCCAGCGCACACACACACACACACACACACACACACACACACACACACGCACATTCCTCAGTTCCAGAGTTCCCTCCAGTGATTCTCTGGCGGTCAGAGGTCTCAGGCTTCCAGAAATAGCTCCTCCCGGGAGAAGCCCCACCTTCCTGGCTACCGCCTTAAAGTCAGCTCTCCGCTGCGCCTTCTCTTCCCCAGCAAGTGGAGTCTGCGAGATCTTGTAAGTAGACATCCCACATTCTCTTTTCTTTTCTCCCACTTCTCCCTCTCCTCCTCCAGGTCCTCCAATCCCTCTTTTTCCCTGCAGAAACCCGCCTGTTGAGGAGGGTTTGCGCTTACCCTTTCCTCTCCAAGCGCTGAAGGGGAAATGGGGACCCGGAGGTCCCAATGCCTCAGGTCCAGGCAGGTTCTTGGGGTGTTCGGGACGAGTGCTGGAGGAAGGGGCAAAGTCTGGCTGCATTTCCTTTGCACCCCATAGCCATACGAACTGGAAAGGGGCCGCCAAGAAACTTGCTGAACTGCGAACCCGGGGAAGGAGTGAACCGGACGCAGCAGGATCGGAGCCTGCAGCGAGGTGTCTGCGCCGCACGCCGCGCACCGCACCAGCCCCCTTCCCTCCGAGGGCGCTGGCTTCTGCGGCCAGGCTCTTTCAGGGGGCGCTTTCGAGGCTTGTGGCGAGCTCAGAATCACCAGCAATTGCCCTTTTGTAAAGAAAGGCAAGAAACTGGAATTTAAAATAAACAAATAAAAACTCGGGAGACTCAGAAGGATTGAGAAAGTTGGTTACTAGAGTCTGGGAGTGGCTTGGGGCGGGAATGAGTTATTAGTGAAAGGTCACAAAGGGCCAGATACGAGAGTAAGTTTTGAGATCGGCTGCACGGAAGGGTGACAGTAGTCAGAATAATGTCTATTTCGAGGGCTGGGGTTGGGGCTCAGCGGTAGTGCACTTGCCTGACATGTGAGGCTGGGTTCGATTCTCAGCATCACATATAAATAGATAAAGGTCTATCAAAACTAAAAAAAAAAAAAAAAATAGTGTATATTTCGAAATCAGTAAGTAAATTTTAAATGTTTCACTATAAAAATGTTAGGTAAATAAGGTGATGGATATGTTAATCAACTTGATCCAATCACTCTACATTGTATTACACATATCAAAACACAGCATCCCAGGTTTCAGAACCAAAAAAAAAAAAAAAAAATCACGCTGTACCCCATCAAAGTATAAAATTATTAACTGACAAATAGTATTAATTTGCTCAAAAAGACGGAAGAGCTGGGCTTGGACTGGGAGGGCCTCGGCGCTTTCTCTGTAATGCAGACGTGTCCCCTCCAGGCTACAGTGCCCCCATTCCGGGGTCCTGGCCAGGAAACAGAGGAAGATCACCAATCCTGCAGGCTTGTCTAGTTGTCACTGGTGGGGAAGGCGTGGTTCCCACGTGATGCAGCCCAGTTCGGTGCCCAAAGTCCAGAGCTCAGAGCAGGATTAATCATCTCTTGTTTTGGGGTGGAGGCAAGTTTAAACTCAAATCCTGATTTCCCCATTGGAACCAAAACTAAAGAAAATTCGCTCCTGAAAATGGGGCGTAACATCGGCGCCACCCAGTGGCACGCAGGCGTCCCTGGGACTGCCTTGAGATGATGGCACTGTCCAGCTGAAAGAAGTGAATGAATTTGGTTTTGTGTTTGATTCTTTTCCTGGTAAGAAACTGGAAGTATTTTCACGCCGAGCAGAGGGTCACTGTCCTGGAGGAATTCAGCCTAGTGATGCCTGGGAAAACTTGCCACGACAGTTATTATTTTTCCTTTCTTTGAACGTTTCTTTTTTTTTCAAAGAGAGAGTGAGAGAGAGGAGAGAGAGAGAGAGAGAATATTTAATATTTATTTTTTTTTTAGTTCTCAGCGGACACAACATCTTTGTTGGTATGTGGTGCTGAGGATCGAACCCGGACCGCATACATGCCAGGCGAGCGCGCTACCGCTTGAGCCACATCCCCAGCCCCGAGAGTTTCTTTAAGTATCTGTATATTGGCAATGATAACAATGCCTATCTTATAGGGAAGTTCTGGGGATAAAATGATATCATGTATGCAAAGTGCTTAGCACAGCACCAGAAGCAGTAAGTACTAAATAAAAGTGGCTGACGTTACCTGATAATATGAGAAGTAGTATGTGTAGCTGTGCTATCTGGCCTCAGTGCAGTGTGACTAGAGAATGTAAGAATCCAGTTACTTCAAGGGAGCAGACCATATGTTTACTTTGTTCTAGGAGCTTCAGGATGGTTCTTGCTAAGAGGTGGACCCTGAAGAAGCACTTCAGTGGCAGCCCTACTAATAGTGACTTTGAGTTGAAGACTGCTGAACTCCCACCCTTAAAAAATGGAGGTAAGTCAGACTCCTAAGATCTCAAAATTGTATCCGTTAGCCTTTGCTGCATAACAAACTACCCCAAACCTTGGGGACTTGAAGTAACAGTTATTGATTAATTCACAATTCTGAGGGTTGGCAGTTTGGGTTGAGTTAAGGTGAATGATTCTGTTGGCCTCTCACTCACATGTTTGATGGTTAGCAGGCTTTCTGCTGGGGTGCAGGCCTCATGTCTCCTCTATGAGGCCTTTCTAGTACGCTAGTCTGTTCTCTATCTCAGTGGTCTCCTGGAATTAGAGCAGCTGGAGTTGACAAATTCCAACATGCAGTTGCTTTTCAAGCCTCTACTTTTATCTTGGTTTCTAATAACCCATTGGTCAAAGCAAGTTAGATAGCCAAGACCATATTCAAGGGGAAATACAGTTCTTTTTCATTTTTATGTTTTCATTTAGTGCTGGAGATCAAACCCAGGGCATTACACAAGTACTCTACCACTAAGCTACCTTCTCAGTCCCTGGAAATAGATTTCCTGATGGGAGGAGTGGCCAGAAGGCCCGCACAAAAGAGTAGGAGGTATTTGTAGCCATTTTGCAGTCTGCCACACTGGCCTTTCAGGGTCTTACACATGAAGACCTCTCAAGGTCTCACATAACCTCCATGTCATAATGGAGGATCCTCTGCTTTTTTTGAACAATGAAAACCAATCCTGGGGTCAATGCCCCTCCCGGCCCCGAAAAGAACAAGAAGAAAAAGGCCCCCGGGGCCCGGGGAACCCGAAGAACAAAAAACAAGGAATAAAAAAAAGGCCCCAAAGGGCCGTTGGGAAGGGGGAAAATTTTGAAAAAAAAAGAAGCAAGCAAAGAACAAGAAAAAAGTAATTAACCCAAGTAAAGCCGGAAGGGTGGAAACCAAAAGCAAAATTCCAAAAAAATACGTGAATGAGGGTCATTTCAGCAAAATACACATGCTTTCATGATAATTAGGACAGGTAATGAAATCCCAGGTGAGCATGATCAAACCCAGGGCACTACCCAAGTACTCTCCCCTACTTTCTCAGTCCCAGGAAATAGAATTCCTGATGGGACTGAGTGGTTACAGATGGGGCCCTGGGCAAATTACTTAACTTCAAATAAAATAGAAACAATAGTTGAGAATATCAAATGAAATAATCCACGTAAAGCAAGGAGTGAGTGCTGATAAATAACCACATCGTCACCATCATCATTGTCATTGTCACCATTACCATCATCATCAGCTAGGCTGGGCCAAACATGAGAGCCCTTCTTGTCTCTTCTATAGAAAGCACAGATGAGGGGCTGGGGTGTAGATCGGTGGTAGAGTACTTGCCTAGCATGTAGAAAGCTCAGAATCTGATCCCCAGCCCAGGGGAGGGGGTGGGGAATGGACCCCGAAGCAAAAAGATTATCTGCATTTATTTAGAATACCCAAAATGGCACAGGCACCAAGCCTTGCGTTTCTAACTGCCTGTGGAATACTTATATTTTGTAGAGGTCCTGCTTGAAGCCTTGTTCCTCTCCGTGGATCCTTACATGAGGTATTATCTTCCTCCTCAAAATTCTTATGCTGTGTGATGGACCCTATTCTGAATTACTGCAATGCACCTTTTAAAATGCTCAAAGGAGATGCATATTTTTAATTCGATTCAAAACACTGTCATGTCTGCGTTTCTCCCAGTATTGTATCAATGGTGGATTCACAGATGCTCTTCTGAGAAGCGTAATGAGAGATTAACATGGTTGCTTTCTTTTACAACCATCTTCTCTCTGCTCTGCACAATTTGCCTTTTATTGTTCACCAGGATTGCTTCTGGGGTGGTGGGAAATGAAAAAAAAAAAGAAGCTAAGCCCCAATTCACCCATTTATTTGTGGTAAATAATTTGGACAGAAGTTGCTGAGACTAAAGACGGATATTCTTGCCTTCCATTAGCCTGTGTTCTTTTAATTTAGGTAATCTGTAATTGACTTAAATTTATATACTAGTAAATAACTCGGGGTTGGGGGAATAAAAAGCCTTCCAGGCAACAAATACCTCAGTAATTTTTGCCAAAGTAAGTAATATATTCATCCTTCTTTTAAATATTTTTTTCATGCTGAGCATGGTGGTGCACACCTATAATCCCAGAAACTCAGGAGACTGAGGCAGGAGAATCACAAATTTGAGGCCAGCCTCAGCAACTTAGTGAAACCCTATCTCAAAATAAAAAAATGAAAAGGGTGTAGCTCAGTGGTGAAGCACTCCTGGGTTCAATCTCCAGTACCAAAAAGATAAATAAATAAATAAATTCAGAGTTCATTGATAAAGATTCAAATCTGAAGTGTAAAATGCAGTGGTTTTTTTTGTTTGTTTGTTTGTTTGTTTGGTTTGGTTTTTTTAGTTGTCAATGGATTTTTAACTTTGTTTATTTATATTTGGTGCTAAGGATCGAACCAGGGCCTCACACGTTAGGCAAGTGCTCTATCATTGAGCCACAACCCCAGCCCCTAAAATTCAGTTTAAAAATGTTAACTAGCATCTTGTTGTTGTTGTTGTTTCGCTAGTATTTTAGGTATATTTTTAAAGTTATTGATAGGAACTCACCTCCAATTCAACACGATGGTAAGACTCCCCTGTCCAGTCATAGGAAGCTATTGCCAGAGTGCATCTTAGGGGTCACGAAACAGGACTGCCCCTAACCATTTCACCTGATTGTGCCACCCTTGTGTATCTGGGTTTGATTTCTGTACATACTTCCCCAATGGTTTGTTCATTTGGCTTGAAATTCAAGACGGTTTTCCCCCCATGCTCTTAAAACTAAGAATGGAATTTTATTTTTTTCAGAATAGCATCCAGAAAATTGAAGGAAGGTGATTTAATGATGGGGGAGCAAGTGGCCAGGTAATTATTTTCATTTGTCCCAGTGCTTGGGAAATACACTTCTTCCTGACCTCTTGCTGGGTCCTGTCTCTGTTCATTGCTCCTACTTGAGCCTGTGTAGTTCATTCACTTTTTGATTTGAAAAGCCCCTTGGGAGATTCTGCCCACTTCCTGACTAACCAAGAGGGAGGGAAGATGTGAAATTGTCAATCTTGCCTCACTCTGCCATCCTTACTTTTAATTACTTTCTTAAACAAATGTATTCATCCAATTCATGATTATTGTAAAAACTCAAATAAACCAAAAATTTAATCTTGAAACTGAACGGTAAAGTCAGTTGTTGTTAATGGATTGTTATTTCAAAAATTGTTTAGTGCACATAGTTTTATATAGTTTTAAGTGGGAATATATGCCATTCAACAAATTGCTTTTTTCTCATTTAATATGTCATAGATATCTTTTGTTAACAGTATGTAAATATATAATCTACCTTTATTAAAAGTTGCAAATTATTCCATTATACTCTGACATTTAACAAATCTGCTACTGATACAACTGTTTTTTTTTTTTCCTACTACAAATAATTCTTCAGGGAGCATGTATGTATCTGTGTATTCTTTGTCCACTTGGAGAAGAAGGCTTTGCATTAAATTCTCAGTGGTATAAATTCTAGCTCAAAGGAGATGCATATTTTTAATTTGAAAAGTTCACCACAATTTGCCCTTCAAAAAGATAGTATGGGCCAGGCACGGTGACGCAGGCCTGTAATCCCAGGGGCTCAGGAGGCTGAGACAGGAGGATCACCAATTTAAACTCAGCCTCAGTAACTTAGTGAGGCCCTAAGCAACTCAGTGAGACCTGGTCTCTAAATAAAATACAAAAAGGACTGGAGATGTGGCTCTGTGACCGAGTGCTCCTGGTTTCAATCCCTGGTAATCACCCACCTCCCCCCACCAAAAAAATAATAATAATATGAGCCTGGATATGATCTTACACACTTGTAATCCCAGCTTCTGAGGTTGCTGAGGCAGGAAGATTGCAAGACTAAGGCCAATTTAGGCAATTTACGGAGACCCGATTTCAAAATAGAATACAAAGGGCTGGGGATGTAGATCAGTGGAAGAACTGTTATCTAGCATACACAAGGTTCTGGGTTCAATCCCAGTACTGGCATGGGGAGGGTTGACTATTCACTCTCACCACCCAGTAGTTTTAAAGAACCTCTTTCCTTACACGTATGCCAATCCTTTTTTTTTTTTTTTAAGGAAATTCTTTCAATATTTTTTTTTTTTTTTGCAATTGTAGGTGAACAGCATGCTTTTATTTTGTTTGTTTATATGTGATGCTAAGGATTGAACCCAGTGCTACACACATGCTATGCAAGTGTTCTGCCACTGAGCTACAATCCCAGTCCACACATATTCCCATTCTTTTCCATCTTGGTTTTGTTGTGTTGTGCTTTGGGGCTGATGTGCTGCACTGGGAATTGAACCCAGGACCTTGTGCATGCTAGGCAAGCACTCCACCATTGAGATTTACCCCCAGCCCTTTCCATTGGTGTTGACATTCTGAGATGAATTTGTTGATACTTCATGTGTAGTTTGTATTTCTTTCATTACTAGTGATGTTGACCTTCATTTTGTAAATTAATTATCAGTTTTCTTCTCTGAATTATTTATGTCCTTTGCTATTTTCTTTTAGGACTCTTCCTCTGTTTTATTGATTTGCAGTTTTTTCTTTTTTTTTCGTATGTCAAAGGCATTAGTGTTGCAAATATTTGGGTCTCTTTATCTTTCTACAGTATCCAATCATAATTTAAAACTTTTAAATATTTGCAATTATGGCCTTTTGATTGCATCTTATGCTTAGAAAACTTTTTTACCTCCAAAAGGGTTAAAATATTTATTCAAGTTTTCTTCTATATTTTTAGTTTAATTTTACACTCAAATTTGCTAGTCATTTACTTTTTATGTTGGCATAGGAGTGAGGTGTTTGTGTCTTCATGACTAGTGGATTGGCATAATCTATTTGTTCAAATCTTATTTGGTTTTTTATTGATATTTTAATGACCTTGTAGATTGAGAAGAAGCTGATATTTTTTTTAAGAGAGAGTGAGAGAGAGAGAGAGAGAGAATTTTTTTAATATTTATTTTTTAGTTCTCGGCGGACACAACATCTTTGTTGGTATGTGGTGCTGAGGATCGAACCCGGGCCGCACGCATGCCAGGCTACCACTTGAGCCACATCCCAGCCCCAGAAACTGATATTTTTATAGTCTTTCTCTCCAAGTACAGGGTATGCTTTTCCATTTATCCATTTTGTCTTATATTCCATTACCAGGGTTCTTCCCACAGATTTTTTTGGGGAGTCTTGGGGGTAGGTAGCAGGGATTGAACCCAGAGATACTTCACCACTGAGCCACATCCCCCTGCCCTTTTATTTTATTTTATTTTTGAAAAAGGTCTCACTAAGTTGCTTAGGGCCTCATTAAGTTGCTGAGAAAGACCTCAAACTTACAATCCTCCTGGGATTACAGGCGCATGGCACTGCACCTGGCTTCCCATAGGTTTTATACATTTCTTGATAATAATCACAGAATGAATGTGTATTGTATTTACTGAATTGGCAGAGACCTTTAAAATCATAATACTCAGTAATGGAGATGATGTGATGATACTTTCACTCATTGGGTAATATCCATTAATGGATGATGATACATTATCAGTCCAGAAGTTGGCACAACCTTCTAGAAAAAAAACTGTCAATATGCATCAAGAGTTACAAATGTTTTCATACTCTTTGACCTTGTAATTTTACTTGTAAAAATGTTGTCTAAGGAAAAAGTAAATTCATATTTATCAGTATTAATTAAAATGTAATTTATATTAGGAAGGTACTGGGAATAAAATAATGAATAATTAAATTCATTATAATTTTTTTGTGGGGGGATTAAACCCAAAAGTACTTTACCACTGAGCTACACCCTTATCCCTTTTTATTTTGAGACAGAGTCTCCCTAAGTTGCAGTCCTCCTTAGCCTCCCAAGTCATGGGATCACAGGCATACACCACTGTGCCTGCTGCTTGTTATAGTTTTTTAAGGATTCTTAATGACATGGAGAAAATCAAAAATTACATAGACCAATATAGTGTTGATAGTTAAATTTGGTTACAAACGTTACTTCATATGAGCACAGTGACACACACCTGTTGTAATCTCAGCAACTCGGGAGGCTGAAGCAGGAGGATTGCAAGTCCAAGGCCAGCCTTAGAAATTTAGAGAGGCCCTAAGCAATTAGTAAGACCCTGTCTCAAGAAATAAAAAGGGCTGGGGATATAGCACAGTAGTAAAGAACAAAAGCAAAAACAAAGCCTTGGTTCAATCCCGAGTACCAAAAAATATTTACTTAAGTTGTGTAAATATGTATAATATACATCTTAAAGGATATCATTAACATTTCCATAAAATACACAAAGATATTAGCAATTACCTTTGTGGATTATAACTGATATTTTTATCTTACCTGTTTTACATTTTCTAGAACAAAATGTGTGATATAATCTTATGATCTGGGGGGAAGCTAGTAAAGAATAGTGAGAGTGGGGAAAAAAAATAAAAGAACTGAGATGGAAATGGGGCAGCTCAGAGAGGGAGTCAGGAATAGCTAGGAGCAGTCAGTGTCCTGCAAACCCATGGGAAGCCTTCATGGTGAGCCTCAGTGTTGAATGGAGTACAAAGATAAAATGGGGTAGTGATTAAAGCATGGCCACTGGATTTTGGAATTGGGAGGTTGTTGAGACCTTCATGGAACAGTGGTGACAGAAGGCAGGTTATTAAGAAAATGGGAAGTGAGAAGGATTAGCTTCAAAAGCAACTAGAAGGAGGAAGGTGGGACCATGAGAAGGAGCTTAAGAGGTGGCAGAATGAGCCTGCGCACATGCTGAAGCAAAGGCGGTGGAGGGGGAGGTGTTAGCGATTCAGGAGAAAGGCAGGCAAAAAAGGTAGAGGCCAGGCCCTGAAGAGAAGAGGCTGCTGTCCAGGCCACCTGGAGCCAAGGAAGGAGACTTCTTGCTTAAAAAAGAGAGAAGTAGGTGAGGCAAGGATGGACTTCTCTCTGAGGGACGCCGTGAGATGATGACTAGGGGTAACTGGAGAGGTGACAGGATACCACTCATGGAGGTCATCCTCAGGCCCATTCCTGAACACTAACAACACTAACGTCACAGCATCCCAGCCCCTACAAAAGGGAAGAGGTGTCACATGTCTTGATGTGCTTTACCTTTCAGAGTTGTGGAAAGTAAAAACTCAGCATTCCCCAAAGGAACTCTTGTACGGGCTTATTTGGGCTGGACAACGCACTCCATTTCTGATGGGAAAGGACTAGAAAAGCTGCCTACAGACTGGCCAGATTCACTTCCACTGTCTTTGGCTCTGGGGACAGTAGGTATGCCAGGGTGAGTTTCATGAGAATATTTCATTTGTTTGAATGCCTGACCCTCGGGTTTTCCAAATTGGTTGGTCCAGAACTTGGTCCACAAGAACAGACATGAAGCATTATAGGCCTAGAATCAAAAAAGTTGAACTCAGAGCAGAGAGGAGAATGGTGATTAGCAGGAGCTGAGGGCTAGGGAACTGAGGAAATGCTTGTCAAAAGATATAAAATTTCAGTTAGACAGGAATTTCAAGAGATGTACAACATGGTGCCTATAGTTAACAATATATTGGATACCTGAAAATTGCTAAGAAGGTAGATTTAAAATAATCTTACTATGTGAAGTAATGTATATGTTAATTAGCTTGATTGAGCCATTCATATATGCATATTTTTTTTCAAAACAACCCATTGTACATTATAATATATATACAATTTTCACTCATCAAGTACAAAATTAATAAATAAAGAGAAGGAAAAGGTGGTCTAGAATTAGCCTTGATGCTGAAGAAAGGAGACAGGAATCAGACTCCCAGGTATAGAGGAAGCACCATAAGAAGTGACATGGCACATGATCCCCACCAGTGGCCAGCACAAGGGAGACACAAAGGAACCAGCTGCTCCCAGCCGCTCATCTCTGCCTTTCCTTCAGAGTTTGTAAAGGGAGAGGGATTTCAGCCAGTGTGGCCTTTCTGTACTGGCTCTGCTTCCTCCTCACCTCTCTCTCTATACATCTGTTTCCTGGGGTAGAAGAGGATCTGAAGTTTTCTTAGTTGAGAGGAATCACAGTATTGTTCAGTGACTCCGCCTGGAAGAGGTTTAAAATATGCTGATGGCCATATCTCTCAGGAAGACTCCTGGGTCTACACTTCAGTTCCCAGCTGAACTTTGAAACCTCAAATTTCCTTTTATGCCCTGGAGAAACAAGGCCATTATTGCCTTTAGAGTTCCCAAAACTTTGCCAGCCTGAAATTCATTTCTTTCCTTTCTCTAAGTAGTGTGGTCTTTTCCTTTTTCCTCCTTTCTCCACTCCTTATTCCCTTCTTTGAAGAGCTTCTAAAGAATGAAATAGAAATATAGACCCCTAAATGATCAGTCTGTTATAAAAACAACTTCCATAAACCCCAAGTTCATATTCCAGTCAGAATTTGAACTCGGAGTCACCAGTGCCAAAAGACATTGTGAAATCAGAGGCGACCCAATTCCTTCTCACCTTCAATTAGTGGACATTAACCAGAATTAGAGCGCATCCTGGTTTTTTCTGCCTGCCCTTCCTTCACTCTGCGCTGGTGACAGCTCTTCCTCCTACCTTGTCATCTCACCCATCCTTCTCTCTGCGCTGTGAGTCAGGTGGAGGAGAGCAGAGGTGAAGGTAGACCTGAGGGAACTTGGGAGCAAGTCTCCCATGACTCAGCCGGGAAGAAAGTTAGTTGAAAGCTATTAGGAGTTCTTGACTCCCAAAAGAGAATCGGTATGTATTTCTTATTCATCTCTTCTAAGCCTCTAAGGGAATGCACTTTTACTCCCATCAATCAACTTTATGCCAGTGGTTCTCAATGATTGAGGGGAGAAGTTACATCATGCCTGTTTCTAAGCATTCTCTAGCAACATACCACCTATTTGTTGAGACTACCCGCCATGGTGGATCACTCCAATGAGATAGGTCAATTTTTTAAGAATGCTTGGACCATTGCTAAAAATTATAAATCATGTTAAATTTTGAAATCAGTGTATTTCAACTGTCCACACTCCAGATTTAATATCCTCTCCCCCCTAAACTATTGTGTCATTCCCTTCCATTTAGTTGAAAGACCTCATATGTTTTACTCTCTAGATTGTTGTTGTCCAGTCTTAGCCATAGTGTACCTTGATTTTCTCCCTAGGATTTCTTTACACCTGCCTATTCCATCATATCTCCATTTGTTAGTCGGCTTTCTATCACTATAACAAAATGCCTAAGATAACTAACTTATAAAAAGAAAAGGTTGATTTTCGCTCATCATTTTAGAGGTCCCAGTCCATGATAGATTGGCCAGTTGCTTTGGGGCCTGTGAGGAGACAGCACATAACGGCAGGAGTGCAAGGTAGAACAAAACCATTCTCCTGTTGGCCAGTTAGTCAGAGAGAGAAAGAGGAAGAGACCAGCATTCCACTGACCCCTTCAAAGCATATCCCCAATGACCTAAAGACCTATCTCAAGGCCCCACTTCCTAAAGCCTCTGCCATATCTTAACAGTGCTTGCCAACTGGGGAATAAGCCTAAAACATGGGCCTTTGAAGAACATGTAAGATACAAACAGTGATTTATTCTCCAAGCCACTGTTTCTATGAAGTCCTCCTTAGTCCAAAGTTCACCTTTGACCTCCCCGAGAATTTCTTTTTTTTTTGATGTCTCCATCTTATCTCCATTTTATTTTTAAAAGAAATTAGTTTGGAAAAGGCCTTGTATATCTTAGGTCAATACTACAAGCTGACCAGAAATCCCAAGGAGGTGGATTCAGGGAGGACAGATGTTGGGTGCCATGAGTTCATTAGTTGATTTCATCATTAGGTGAACATCCTAGATTATATTTACACAAACTAAAATAGCTACAATGTTGCCTTAGTCCGGCTGGGTTAAATAACCGAGAGCTGACAAGCAACTTGAAGGTTGAATCAGGAACTACTTTATTGCGAGTGAACTCAGCAGGAACTGAGAACTCAAAGTAGTGGGCACCCAAGGTAGCAGGAGCCGCTTCTCTGTGGGACAGCAGAGGTACATATACCCAACTAATTACACACAGCTTAACTTAATTGACATCATCTAGATACAGCAGTCAGTCATTAAGGAATCCTCATCATCTTAATGGCTCATTGGCATTGGCTCAGAAACCACTCCTCCTAGCATACTGCCAGGCGCCATCTTAACTTGGTTGTGGCCCTCATCACAGTGTCATATAATTTTATGGACCACTACTGAACATGCAGTCTGTCCTTGACCAAAATATCATTATATAACTCATGACTGTATTTGAATCCTCAGAAAAAGATATTACTTGTGTCTGTCACTGTCTTCCCCTTAGGGCCCAACTGTCATGGGCCCCAAATATAAACAGAGGCTGAATAAAACAATGTCATGCTCACATTCACATGTAGGTTCTGTTTTACACAGAAATCACGTCAGATGAATTTGTCTGAAATTTTGCAGGTCCCTTAACTGTCACTATAATACATATTGATCTTTGGCACAAAACTTAAGGATTCAGAAATACATCATAAAAATTTATCTATGACTGAACTTCATTTCTTTCTCAGGCCCTTATTTGGGCCGGTTTAGTAAAAGAAAACGTTCGGTGAGTTCTTGCTGGCAGAATGGGGACAACGTCTCCATCTTAATCGGTGTCGGTCTTATGCTGTTCCCTCTCAATGTCTTCCATTCCACCCCCTTCCAAGTTTCAAGCCACTGGGGTATGGTAGTGTCTTCACCCAGTCCCCACCGTGACTG